GTTCTTTCGCCTGATTTGGAATCAAGAAAACCACTAGCAGTTCACCGTCCCGGTTATAGTCCCGAATGTTGGTTTTTCGTCTTTTCACATTGGTGGAAAAACACCGCCACGAGCCAGTGGGTCTTCCTCAGCAGGTGTTTGAAATGTTTGGTTGCATAGAAGCATCTCGTGAGGTGTAAGAGAAAGGTGATAGCTAACAACCTAAACACCATCCCCGACGATACTGAGGCTTTCGGCGGCTATACATACTGACGTCTTCGTGTATTGCTGGTATTCTGTCATTGATCAGTTTGTTATAAAACAGAAAGCTAAGCCGCTTTAAAAGTCAACGAAATGCATTGACTGTTCAATTTCTATATTGCTTCCAGTTTCTATGTGACTTTCCCGTGTTTGTGGATGGGTAGATTTTGGCAATATATCAGATTTCGGAAGCTGTACTGCTTCCTATCTCGATTCTACGTTGATTTCTATCCCGGTCACTGTTCACCCAAGTTTGTAAAAAAACATGTCTTTCAATCTGATCGCTTACACTTTGTGCATTCCGTTCTTATATGAATGCATTTCCTCCTTATCCACTGACCCCAAATATGAATGGTGTTACGCACGTACCAAAACATACAGCCCCCCCGGGCTCCATAATGAGGACCATCATACTAGTCTTTCTTCTGTCATCAGCAATGGACCCTCGGGTTAAGCAGAGCTGAATGCTACCAGGCGCGTCCCCGGGTTGTGTATAGGGGGATACCTTCACCGAAGAAAGTTAGTTGTGAATAAGTTGTGGTATATCGCAACAAATGAACAGTCGCGAACAAAACACGGCGGCACTACCATGGTATGGAGGGTTTCAGGCTGGTCATCTGGCTGTTGTTTAAAAGCCGCATAAGCCCAGTGACGGTGTCGTGATAAAGTTCGATGTGATTGGCCTTTTAAAACTGAAGTCATTTATCTCCTCACTTCCGAGGCGAGGGATTACTTCCTGCTGCGTTGCAGTTCGCACTTGATTGTGCAAAAGCTAGAGGTGCGCCCTCAAAATAAAAAGAAAACGACGAGTGACGCTGCGAAGGTTATCGGATCAAACTCCCAAGTAACTTCAGTATCATGTCTGGAGCCGGCCTATCCTTTCCAAGGAGCCAGCCGCAGTAAAGTAAAAGTAAAATAATGGACCAGTAGCTGAATACGGAATAAGCGAAGATTAGAAACAGTGATACATTTCTATGTAGTCACGATAGCGATAGCGGTTGACGACATATCATCATCTTGATTCCCAATTGAGAGGATCAAGTTTGGCATTGCGCGAAGCATCACCGCTGCCACAGCTTATCCACAGATCACTCTGCGATCCAGCTGAAATTTCATCATTCAATTAACTGGAAATGCAATTAGAATCTGCTCGTATCAGGTTGCTTTATCCCTCTTCCAATCGGCTACCACGACGAGCGTATTTATTCTGGCTTCCTTGACGGTACCGTCGTGCACTTCTCTCGAAACTGCATTACCGTCACGTGACATTGCTCCTAGTGGTCCTCGTGTAATGAAGCGAATGCGCGGGTGATAGAACGTCATTTTTCTAATTGGCGCTTAAGACATTGAGGCGTTGCATGCGTCGGTCGTGGGAACTGATACACCAAGAGTACAAACCTAAATCTCGGATCGATCCACATTATGTATGGAACAGTTTACTCCTGGTTCGTTCATTTCTAAATGGGATTTAGATAAAACCAACGGCTGAAAAAGACTCAAGTGTATCAACCGAATCGTCGCCTAAAGCGGGTTTTATTTCAACCTCGTCCTTGAGCACACCTGCCAAATCTAAAATTTTCACGTACTGGGCAGGTATACTTTTCGTAGACACAGCGTACAAACTGCAAATAAACAAAACAATCACGGGCTTGCCACTTGCACCAATCACATCTCCCTATTGGCATAACAAAAGTTTTACACAAATAAATGAATAAAAAAAACCTGATACAATAAAACAAATGACTATATGGGAAAAAATCAGTTCAATTCAGTTTTTACAACCATTAACCATGCACTTTCGTGCGCCGGTTTTGGTTGTTGTCTTTGGTGCCCCATTTGGATAAAAGAGCAGAATGATAATTGGAATGTTGAAACCAAATTCAAGCGGAAGAGGAAGAATTCATATTGAATAGTGGATGCACGAGCGCCACTGTTTGCGACACCAAGCCATATCACTCAGTGTCTCTAACCATCGGGTACGACCATCCAAAGGTCCCCATCCAGGGAGCCTAACGGGACCTGTGTGACCTAAACTCCTGGTTAAGGTTTTCATACCCTCATGCCAGGTCTTAGCTTGACCACCTTGGTCTTTTTTCCACCCACTACCTGCCTCGGCAAACATCGCTCGCCGTGGCAGCCTATTTGGAGACATGCGAAACACATGCCCTAACCAACGTA